CATTCTTTTTTCGGTGTCCAAAAACATATGAAATTTACTTTACAGAAAAATTTTTTTATTCTTCTTCTTATTGTCAATATACACATAACAGCGAAACGAATTTGTTCACTTATTCTTTCCTGTATGGTAAAACAGTGAGCATGAAATCCTAATTAAAAACCTCTTTTATTGAACTGAAAACTGTTCTTTACTACCTTCGCATTTTTTGGTTCTCTTTTCGCTAATTTTAAAAGTATTAAAAAGCATAAGAGGACTAAAAGCAACAGTTAACAAGCACTTTAAAAGCTACTTTTATAATCTCAAATCAGTTTTAACTCTTAATGAATATGAATCAACCCGTAAAGTCAGTTTCCAAAAAAAATTTTCTGAAGGTCATCCAAAGAAGAAAGGCTATTTTTTAGCAAAGACAAAAGGTAAAGTCTAGTAACACATTAATTTAAGGCCTCACCATTTAAATTCTCTATTAATCTTAGTTTGTTCTAATTCCATACAACTCTTTTTTGTCGGGAAATTATTTTCCACTAAATGATTATGATTTCAAAAACTCTTTTAATCAAACCATACAGTACCATAGAAGTTTGCTAGTAGATAATGTCCTTATAAAAGATGAGAACCTGAAAAATTAGAAGTCTGCTCACATATTTTCATAAATCTTTCTTCAGTTTTTCGCCTCTTATTTCAAAGTAACAGCAAAGAAAAACTGATAAGAATGTTTGTTTAAAAAAAAAGAAAATAGAAAAAAAAAGTGGACTACACATTCAGAGAGATCTAATACTTTTACTTGACAACTTTCTGCCATCTTTAGAGAACAGAAAAAGAATGAAACCTAAGAAACTGCAGTAATCGCAAAAAAAACCTCCCATTTCCATTTGCAGCGATTATCTAAGAGTTACTATAAAAGTCTCTTCTTTGAAATAAAAAAAAAAGATTATACTGATGTCTTACCTGTGATAACACTGAAGTAATTTTTTTATTCTATTTTCTTCAAATTTTTCAGTTCTATTATAAACAGTTCTACAGTAGTTTAATTATATTTTTGATATCTACGCGCTAATAAGCAGTTTTCTTAGTTTGTTAATTTGTTAGTGCAGACTACCTCGTAGATCAAAAAACGAACCTAATATGTTCATCACTACATTTTATCTACCGTATATTCAAGCGAAAAAATCCATTTCTGTTTATTTATAGTTTACTTTAAAGTACTATGACAGCTTCACAATCAAAAAAAAACTGTATAAATATACATTCATTGTTCGCCATTATTACCGCTACGAAGGTCACTCGTAAATTAAAAACAAAATCAGTATAATTAACAACATAATCACATTTTTACAGGACAGCTGTTAAGGCTTAGAGCTAAGATATGCGGACACTATTGATAACAGTCATCATATGCACAGCAGCCATTGTATACAGCAACAAAAGACAATTAAAAAGAAAGAACTTACTCAAGGAATATATTAGCCGAGGCATGTTCAACTGTAGTGAAGAACATATGGAAGAACTCCGCAGTCTCCTTGAATTAATGGAAGTCAGTCAACTGTTTTTTTTTT